GAAGGGTCTAGGCCCGAAACGTCAGCCTTCCTGCTCCTATGATGCTGCTTGGCCTGCTGTGTTCATCCAGCTCTGCACCTTGTTATCTCTAGTATTCAGACTTGTGTTCCAGCTCAGAGGGTAAGGGAACAGCTGATAGGGGGAAGGATGCAAGAGGATCCAGAACAGAAGACAGGTTAGGATTTCCATTGCTGATTTCACTATCCAGGAATCCAACTGGAGAGGAGCACGTGGGTGGGTGCCTGCTGTACAGGGTGTAAAGTATCTTTATCAATAATCAAGGAAGTGCAGAATGGAGAGCCACCAAGACATGCAGACCCCTGTCACACTTTCAAAACACACAAACAAATGGGTGAAAACTATGTGGATTCCAAAATGCCAATTTCCCCTCCACGCTCTGACACAAGGAATTAACTGTTCCTCACTTGAGGCTGCCATACCCACTCAGTATGCCAGCATTTCTCTTGACTTCTCCTCAAACACAGCAGGAAGTACACCGTCAGGATAAGAATGAAGCATTTGCCCATAGTCCAAGAGGTGTCCCCACAGGTGTGTGGCTCTACCCAATGGTCAGCTAAGAGAATAGGCCAGGCAGACAGAAAGCCAGTGGCACCCCAAACAGCGACACGCCAGGTGGGCAGGTTGGAGACAATGAACACCTGATTGCAGTTCACCTTGGACAGAGAGCACACTAATGTTTTGAATCTAAATCAGAGTTCTCATGCAGGGTTATCTAGACTCGAAACATTAGCTTGCTATCTCTCCAGAGGCTGCCTAACCCACTGTGATCTCTAGCATTTTTTGTTTTGAGCACAGATTCCAGCATCTGCTGTAATTCGCTCCTCCACAGTTTACCTTATTTCATTCCTACAGTATCACGTGGAAAAACCCAACCATGTCAGAAATTCATCTTTAAAACGGCCAAATAAAACTGTCCAGCTGCAGTCACCCATCCTTCATGTACAGCATATCTGCTGCATTATAGAACACAAGTCATTGACAGCCGGCCTATCCAGGTTTTAGCAAAGGTGAAATAAGGTGGAACTAAAACCAGGTAGTATTCAGACTCAGGTGCTGGCAAAGAATGTAAGGGAACAGCTGATTGGGGGAGGGATGCAGGAGGATCCAGAAGAGAAGGCAGGTTCATGACAGAGGTCCACTCTCATTGGAGAGGGACAACTGGTGGGGGTTTAACCAGAGGGTCACCACACTTCAGGCAAGGGAAGAGGTCGAGGAGAGTCCTTTATGGTCATGGTGTGGAATTGAACCCATGCTGTTGGTGTTACTTAGCATCACAAACCAGCCATCCAACCAACTGAGTGAACCAACCCGTGACATCCAGTGTAATATCAGCCCTACCCCATAAGCATGCTGCGATGTGTGGTTCACCTAGACTCCTCAGTGTTGTACAGACCCATGGAGGTGTTTGTCTCTAGTTCTGGCTCATATCCAGAGCTCCACAACACCTTTGCCAAGGGATAACCTTCGAATGAATTTCATCATGATGCCACTCCACAGTGACATCTGGTGACACACTTCGATTCTCCTCCAATACGGTGCACAGCCCCATGGCCTCTGCTAAACCCGGTCACAACAATCGTAAAGTCTCTTTCATTTCTCACATTGAATCCCCATCACTTCGTCCTTCAGCTGTCTCGGATCTTCCCCCACCACACCCCTCAAATGCATCAGTGAAGGTCACACCTCTGCAAAGTTGGTCTGTCATTCTTACCCATGCCCTAGAATTAGTCCCTTGTTTGAGGGCTTGAAACCACACTATAGAAATTATTCCTCACCTTTACCAGCATTGGCCCAACACAGCCATAGAAACTTAAAAAAATGCCGGCATTTCTCTGTACAACAGTGAATTCAGCCCATAGTGGGCAAAGCATGTGCTAAGTGTCCATTGTAGAATTACAGCTCTGGCTGAATTCTCAGTCAATGCATCAATCACTCATGGGTGCTTCAACACGGCACGTGATTTAAACCCCACCTGTACACCTGGAGACAGGGGCCCAGCCCAATGCACGGCAACTGAGACAAAGTGGTCCTGTAACCAGTTAGTGGCGCTCTCTGCTGAGGGCACAGTTCAAGGATTCTCTTTTTACTTGGATCTTCGTTCAATGAAAGGTAACAAATTATCACCTGTGTTGCTCCTGGCACTTACACTGTTCAATCAGGTTTGTGCACCAGGAGAGTTTTAGATCAGGTGGAATGGACAGATTTTTTTTTTGTTTTTAGGAACAGCAAAGCCAGAAGCCATCAGTAGAAGCCAACTACCAAGAAACTCGATAGGGAATTGAGAAGAAACTTCTCATCAGGAGCGGTGAGAATGTGGAACTCAACACCACAGTGAGTACAGCAATGAGTAACACAGATACTATGATCGAGAAAACAGATAAACAGAAAGGAGAAATGAAGACAGTAAGGCTGACAGGGAAGAAGTGAGTGAGCCATTACTGCAACCATGGACTCAAGGCCAAATAGCCTGCCTCTGTTTTCAGTTCAGTTTTATCTCAGTAATGTATGCACTGCATTAATGGAGGTTGGATAGCAATGCAGAATGAGGCCCACCGCATTGGCTGGGGTCACCATGAAGGCCTCTCTTCAACCTCTCCACTTATCTGAGGAGAGGCCTTCAGGTTAAACCAGTCATCTCTCCCTATTGAGAGCACAGCCCTATGGTCCGGTAGGACTATAGCAATTTTAGTCAATTTAATTAAATATCAATATAACTGCATCTCAACAGAGATTAGAATTTTGTCTCCATTGTGACTTAAAATCTCAAGTCTAAGGCAGTTTAACCTAACACCACAAAAGTCTCCAATTATACTTCAGCATGACAGATGGATTTGAGAAGGAGCAGATGCAATGGTTACTGATTTTAATATTCTTATTGTGTGCAGGATTTTGCAAATTTTCTCCAGGCATTATTCAGGCCACAACCAGGAATCAGTAAAACTCCAAGTCAGTTTAAAGAGAACTTCCTTCCACTTCCACTTTACTAACAGAAAGCAAGGAGTGGGGATAACTGGGTGTTTGTCTGGTTGGTGATCAGTGGCGTGCCTTAGGCATCAGTGTTGGGACCGTGATTGTTTTACAATTTACATAGATGATTGAGAGTCGGGGACCAAGTGTAGTGTGTCAAAGTTCACAGATGGCACTAAAGATGGGTGGTGGAGCAAGGTGCGATTAGGACACAATGGCTGCAGAGAGAGAGTTTAAGTGGGCAAGGGTCTGGCAGATGGGGTACAACGTCAGTAAATGCGAGGTCATCCATTTTGGTAGAAATAACAGCAAAATGGACTTATTTAAATGGTGAAAAACTGCAGCATGCTGCTGTGCAGAGGGATCTGGGTATCCTTGTGCATGAATCACACTGTTGGTTTGCAGGTGCAGCAGGTAATTAAGGCAAATGGAATAATGACCTTCATTGAGAGGGGGATGGAGTTTAAAAATAGGGAGATTGTGCTGCAGCTGTATAGGATGCTGGTGAGGCCACACCTGGAGTACTGTACAGAGTTTTGGTCTCCTTACTTGAGAAAGCATGGACTAGCACTGGAGGGCGTTGCAGAGGAGATTGACTAGATTGATTCTGGAGTTGGTCAAAATATTTATGGGGTCTGGTTTTTTTTTTTTTTTTTTTTTTTAAAAACTGGACCATATGAATTCAAACTGGCACAAGACAACAGCACTGAGGATGTCACCTAGTAAGGGGATGAAACGTCTGCTATCAAATCTCCCAGCTCAGCGAACACACCAACATCTACAACCAGCACCCGAGCTACAAATCTTCACTCAAACCCTGAAGAGGATGAATTATTTTATTAGACATTACCAAGGCAAACTGATACCCCATATCTTTCCAGCATTAAGCATGCCACCAACAAGCAGAAGACAGAACAGAAAGACAGTACAAGCACCGCTCAGCTTTTTAACAAAGCATTGCAATCAAACTGCACTTCTCACCTTAATGAGGTATCGGGTGATATCCCGGCCAGCAATGTCGAGCCTCCGTGTTAGGTGTGGCAGTGAGAACCCTTCATATACTGGACAGATGTGTGTCACACCATCACCCGAGTCCACAACCACACCAGTTAGCAAACCTGGAGGAAGACCAACAGTTCATCAGCAAAGACCAACTCCAAACATTTGCCAATGATTGTACGCTGTAGTTATTAAAGCAGAACATAGCCAGGAAGGTCGTCTGAATTTCTCAGCTGCATGATACCATATCTTGTCACAAACTGAAACCCAGCTCTGAACGAGATGGGTATTTGTGATGGAAGGGTGGGGAGATGGAGCCAAGGGGCAGGAAACCTTGCTCTTCATGGGTTCGCTACTGTGGTTTAGCCAGACACACCGGTAGCAGTACCACACTTTTTGCAAGATACTAAAGCACAATATGTTTCTCCATTGACCTTTCCGGTCAGACAATCACACAGTCTTCCCTCATTACACCAACTGCAGCAACTCATGCTCTCACTGGTCTCACAGGTCCCTCCATGTTCTCAGACAACATGTCTGGTTAAACCATGGGCAAGTCAAACCTGAACATCCGAGACTGAAGTTGTGCTTTTATTCAGCAGTATAAAACCCAGTTCAATCCTAAGACTTAGCTTTTGCCAAGGCTGCTGATTCCCAGTGAACATTTCCCAGCTGTGTCCCTACTTCATTCACCTCTATACCAACCACCTAACAGCCTCCCAACTCCAATTCCCCATGGCCTCCATGGAGTGTCAGTTTGAGGGCTGAAATTCATACTTACCCTATCACAGATCCATTCTGCTTCCACGTGGAACTTGAAGCTTTGTCTAACGCACCCTCGCAACCTTTGGTTCACTGACTCTCATCCTCCTTTTTACTTTGCCATGGGTCCCTCTTCAAACCTAACCCTTCTGGTCACACTTTCTGAATCGTTGTAGTGCAGGAAATTGCCATTCAGCCCATCGACCTGTACCAGTACTATCACCAAGTGCCAAATTCCTGCTTTCTCCCCCAAAGCCCTGCACACCATTTCTACCCAAATAACCATCCAATGTCCTGGAATGCCTTAGTTGACACTGCCCTCTACCACATTCTCTAGCAGGGTATTTCAAACCCTAACCATGCTAAGAATTTGTTTCTCATTATCCTTGCTTCACTTACACTTCAATTTTTCTTCCCCCACCCCAAGACAGACTCCTCTCACCTTCAATCACCGCTAACTGTTCCATCATTGCTCTGCTTGTCATTTCACAACCACCTCCTCACCAGTCTATATTAAAGTCTGATAGAGATTTGTAAATTGGTGCTGTAGGACAGGTGGAGGCAGCAGCCAGACAAGTCAAGAGACATTTCTCTCTCCCGTTTAGACAGTAGCTCTGAATTAAATGCTGTTTTCCCAACCAGAGGCAACAGACAGCTAGCTCCCACGTGCACTAACACAAAGGGAGAACTCACCTTCATCAGGGTGATAAGAGTACAGTCAGGTTGACACACTTTACAGCAAGTAAAATAGATCTGACCCATTTTCTTCCATGCTAAAGTTATCTCTAACCCAATTAAAACACTTAACATGTCCAGGAATTTTCATCTCAAACGTGTGGTGCTTGAGCTGATCTTACTAAGTGAAGCCCTGGGATCATCACAACTACCTTCAACCCCCGAAGTTGAGGGAGTAAGGAAGAGTGCGCATCTTGCAACCTCTGCACATCAAAAAGCAGATCAACTGATGTTTGTTTGGAAGAATGAATCATTTGTAATGAAAATGCTGCCTGAATCTTTGATGGAAGAGTGTCTTGGTTTAAAAACATGGGTGTTAAATTGCACAGAGAGCAAACACTGCAATGACATTTGCCCCAGCTGAGCTCGCCACCAAGAAGCCAAACAGTTCACTCCCAATTTCCAAATTTTCACCTCAGTTCCTGACCAAAAGGACTTCCCCAAAGGAATTCTACCAGCTTCTGAGAGTCATTTTATGAACTGAACCAGGACCCATGGTCTAAGCAGCAGCTTTGGGAAATGTTACCAATTTACAATATTACATCAGCTCTCAACACTGAAAAGGTCCCAGTCTGCCGTAATTTCCTCAGTCCCCAGTGACAAAGTCTCAGGGTCTCCCCTCCAAACCTTGCAAGGCTTTAATCTTTATGCTTCAGTCACTAGAAATGAACACTCTGGTCTCAACTGTAATCTGATCAGAGCATTGTACAGCCCACACTCACTTCCCCTTGATTGTCATGAGATAGTTCTACATCCTCTTGGCTTCACTTCAGCGACTTAACTACCCAAGTAGTTATTTTACTAAAGCCTGCAGATGTCTTGCATTTCCCCAAGCTACTATAACACTATGGAAGTGGTACTAATGCTCCCCGTATTTCTCTACTATTCAGTTCTTGCCTTTGCCTACAATCCATTTCATTTGTCACTCAAGTGAACACAATATTTAATCAGATTTATCTGATTTGTTTGCTATGTCACAGCAACCCGAGTCAACTACTGCTCCTTCATACCATCATTGAAATAAAGTGAGTGAGCTCAGTGTTCCAGCTGACTGAACAAATAGCAACACTTAGTTCCCCATGCCTCTGCTTTTTGTCCAAAGGCCTCCCAAGTTCCTCATCCTCATGAGCCTACTCAACTTCCTTTTGAAGTTATTCATAGAATCAGCTTCCACTTCAAATCATAATTCTGCAGAAATATTCATCTTGCCTAATGATTTTTAAAAGTGCAAGACAGATTTGCAGCTGTATAGCACCTTCCATGATCACCAGACAACTGAGACTACGTCTCACCCAATGCAGTACTTTGAATGGGTAGTCACTTATGCAAATGTGGCAACCCATTTGTGTACAGCAAGCTCCCATCAACTGCAATGAAATAATGACTGGATCATTTGTTCTTTGTTGATGCTCTTTGAGGGACACATTTTCTATAGGATACCCTGTTCATCTTTGAATGTTGGGATTGTCATGCAGCTAATTGGCCTATTCACAAGGAATAATTTTCTCTCTCTAATCTTTCAATTCAGCCCCTCAGTTTGAAAACCCAGATCACCTCTTAACCTTGTCTGTTCCAGAGAACAGAGCAGACCTTTCCAGCCTCTCGCCCCTGGGAACATCCTGGTAAACCTTTTCAGGCCATTACACTTTTGTTTTGTACTATCTACAAATATGACTAGTCAGCATTCAACACCCGATCCCAGGTCATTAATACAGGTGAAGCCAATGTCGTCTCTATTCTCCAGACTATTAGCATACGCGCTGGCCAGGAAAGCCAATAAAAACAAACTGACAGATTCATGAGAAAGTTAAAGACATAGGCACCCGAAACAATGGACATGTACATACCAATAACTACACTAAGTGAAGTCGGAGACATGGCCCTTCCTATAGTAGTTTTGCTGAACTTTACTTAAAGTCTATTCAAAATTAATGAGGTGTTCATGAAAGGCCATCTGCAAGGTTATCAGCACTGGTGTACATTCCACCAGAAATCTGAAGTTACCACCAAAATTTCATAAGCTTTTGTTCAATTTTATTAAATGTTGACTTTTCATTTAGGGACTAGTCTTGTTTTGTATTCTACAATTGGAGTAAAAAGATTCAATTGGAAACTCTCCAGGAATTTTGTTAATTGCATCCAGGAATTGGAGAAGGTGGTCCTGAACTTTTCCTTCAAATGAAGGAGATTTCCTCCTAACTACAGATTACACAACTGGAAGTTGCAGCTTTATGATTGAGGTGGCTGTATTGCAATTGATGCTGGAGATTTAGATGCTTAAACAGCGTGTGACAGTCTTCCCTGGGGATTGCCCCCATGCAAAAGGATCAACACTTGGGTATCATGATCCCGCTATAACCAAGAAATGCATCTTCCTGAGGAGATCACATTGTTATTCAACGCTGGATCAAGCTGCAGGATGCAGTGCAGATCCATAACTCAGCAACCATGCAATGTTTCACCCTTCTGGGCAAAACCAACTTTACAACATTCCTGTCTTGATCGAAGTAATAAGTTTGAAGTTCTGTGAAATACTCATTTTCAGTTTAAAATGTTACCTTAAACCATTTCTCAATGTTCTCAACAATGGGACTTGCAACCTCTTCTGCTGACAACCCAGGTTAAAAATCGCATATAAATCAATGCTAAGCTGCTATCCTACTTTATACAACCCACACCCTCTCTATTTAAAGTTCAGTCAAGGAAACACTTCATATAAACTTCAAGGTGACTGCTTTAGCCTATTTCTGGTGCTTGGATTTTAAGATTGTTACTGTTTATATTTTGCAACTTCCATCTTGTTGTTGGTGTTTCTTCATAATTTCACTGGATCACTTATTTACGATTAATTTATTTTACTATGATATTTCATAATTTTTCCATTTTGAACTTGACGACAATTTATCATCATGTTCTTGAGATCAGGCAAACAGTAATTGTTACTTTATGTATTCCCATGGGACATCGTTCATTGTTTTACAAGGTTATGATAAAGAGCAAGTTGTATCATATTCGAGACTGTGATGCAACAGGAAGGTGCTGCAGATGATTATATTCCAAGGGCACAGTGCAGTTAGCAGCAACATATCAGCTATGAAAAACTGTACCTGGCAATGTACTCACATTTTACGAGGAGGTTCACACAAATTGTTTTACACGAGATTAATCTGATCAACGTTATTGCGATTTTAAACAAAGTTTAGTTCATCAAGCCTTAAGCTGTATGATATACGACATCTTGGTTTAACTTCAACATTTCTCAAATTCCGATCTCAGGCATACGTACCTTGAGCGTAGAGTGTGAGTACAGCTTGAATAGCAATGTAGACTCCACTAAACTGGTAGGTTTCAAACATCACCTGAAACACAAAATTGTAATTTAGCCAAACCCATCCTTGTCATCTTATCCTCATACATTTCCCAAATCAACTGACAAACAGCTAATTTCAACATACTCCTACACAACTAGCATCTCATTCTCTCCAGAACGTCAAACATTCCTAACCTAACTGCGACCTGACAAGGTCGAACATTAGAAATTTACACCGGCTCTTGTTTCAAAATGGATTGGAGAACAGAAGGAAGCCAATCTTCTTTTGCTTTCCCTCTCGACCGCAGATCCTTCTTCCGATTAGTCACTTATCCCATCCTAAAAGATTGAGCCCTATGTCCCTGGAAGTTGGCCAGCACTGGAGCTTACAAGAAATCAGACCAGTAGCTTTAACATCTCAGCAATTATGCAATGGAAAATAACACAAACCATCACAAGTGAGGAGTTAAGGTGTTTCAATTCCATTTGTAAGTCATTAACAAAGTACATTCAGACAGGAATTATGAATATATTCCATTAACCTGACCCCAACCCCAACCCCACCATCAGGGCTTTTCTGTCAAACGTTCAGAGCCAGAAAGCACTTGTGTATCAGGACATTGTATAATGGATGTGATGCAGAGTATTCTGGGGTAGTATGTTGGATCTTGTATTTTGAAACATAGACCAACTGACAAGTCTAACACATGACAGGATTTGTTCTCACTTGTTAAAGTGAGAAATGTTTCTGCATTCATCTGACAGTGGATGCAATGGTTCATGGTGAAGTACACATTGTGCTCTGGGAGCAAGTGCCAGCAGTGGGTAGCTATTACAACTACAGATTGTTCTCAAAACCTCTCTTGCTCATGCATGCCCTTTAAAGAAGGATATCTGCCATCTTTCCTTTATCCGGCCTTCATGTGATTCCAGATCCACAACAATACAGTCGATTCTTACCTGCCCTCTGAAATGGTCAACCAAGACGCTCAGTTCAAGGGCAATTGGGGAGGGGCAACAAATACTGGCCTCAGATGCATCCATCCCATGAATGATTAAAAAATATTACAGTAGGGCTGAAACATTTCTATCACACACAGAACTCTTCCCTCAATCCTGACAAGCAGGCAAGCACGTACATCTTGGAACAGGGCATGCTGAATCACATGTTCAGAATCTAACTTCACCTCAGCAGGAACAGAGTTAGCAATCCTCCAGGATTGTGCAGCATTCTCTGGGAATGAGATGCATCTCCAAGGCATGCTACGAGGAACACCAAAGTAAGGGGAAAAATATCTAGGATCTTGAAAAGAAAGAGACCTTTTCTTTAAAGATTGCAGTCCGAGTTGCAAAAAAGATTCCAAACCATGAGGCAAAGGAGAAATAGCCATTCCACTAACAGTCAAAACTAATCGTGTCCAAATGGTCGTGGGATAGATCAGTGAAGGGAATGTCAGGGTGGGGTGGTTGGAGGCAGGTCAGGTGGTGAATGCAAGTTAACCAGAGTTAGCAAACCTATGTTGCGTCCCGTGAGTGGGCTAAAGTTAATTTGGGTTTTACTGCTATATTCTGTAGAATACAGAACTGCAACACCGGTCCCATTCCAGTTATTGTCCATATCAGAGCTGTACATCACAGAAACAAACCCCTTGGTCCAACTCATCCACGCTGACCAGATATCCTAAATGAATCTGGTCACATTTTTTGCCTGCATTGGCCAATATCCCTGGAAACCCTTCCTATTCACATACCCATCCAGATGACTTTTAAATGTTGCGATTGTACCAGACTCCTCCACTTCCTCTGGCAGCTAATTCTGTACACACACACCACCCTCTGCGTGAAAACGTTGCCTCTTTGGTCCCTTTTAAATCTTTCCCCTCTCACCTTAAACCTATGCCCTCTAGTTTTGGACTCCCCTGCCCTGGGAAAAAGACCTTGGCTATTCACCCTATCCATGCCCCTCATGATTTTATAAACCTCTACAAGGTCCCCCCTCAGCCTCTGACACTCCAGGGAAAATAGCCCCAGCCTATTCAGCCTCTCCCTATAGCTCAAACCCGCCAACCCCAGCAACATCCTTGTAAATCTTTTCTGCACCCTTTCTAGTTTCACAACATCCTTCCTGGAGACCAGAACTGCATGCAGTATTCCAAAAGAGGCCTAACCAATGTCCTGTACAGCCGCAACATGACCTCCCAACTCCTATACTCAATGAACTGACCAATAAAGACAGCATACCAAATGCAATGACACTCAAATTACCAGAGTGAAGTGACCACATTAAGTGGTTCACTCAATGTGTAGCATCTTGCTAAGTAGCAAGCAAGATGGAAATGCAATGACAAGTTCAATAACTGACAGCCTAAGAAACCACGTCTGGAGTAAGCATGAGGTTAATCTCAGGACCAGGTAGAAAGTACACAGGACTATTATTGTTGCTCAACTGTATCAAGTTCTGGAAATGTTACTGCCAGACAGATCTGACAGCCTCACACAGTCCTCTATCAAAAATCAAGGTTTCTCAAAGGATCAAGCACTTATGAATGGGTGCTTCCCAAGGCGGCTAAAACCACCACAAAACAGACCTGCTGATACAGGTGTGCAAGGGTTAGGAATTGTCAACTGAGAGGAATAACCTGTTAAAATCACAGAAGATCCTGGCAATAAGCGGCAATAGCAAGAGGGGAAATTGGGTTGGTGGAAGAGAAGAAGTTGCCCAAGCAAACCCTCGAGCAGTCACATATCAACGTCAATAGCAGGAGAAAGCTCACAGTTGAATGCATGAGCTGGTTTGCAATGATACATTGCAGTGTCAGGCAGTACAAGCACCTAGTGTGTGGATCTCCTGAAGCAGTGACAAAAATAGCAACGTGAACAGCAGCAGTCCATTTACAGTCTGCACTGCTTCAATTCTGACCTTTTGCTTATGCTAATTCTACCAATGGCAGCCATGCCTTCAGTTGCCTGTACCCTAAATGCTGGAAATCCCTCCCAAAACTTCACTACTTCCTTTAATGCATTTAAAGCCTCTTTCATTGTTTTCAGGGTTGCAGCAGGAGTTTGTGGAGATAATTCAGGAGGCAAGGCAGAAATTCATCCCAAGGAAGAACAAACATACTATGGAGAGGGGTCAAGGAAACCACGGCTGACAAGGAAGCTCAGGGGCAGCATAAAAGCAAAAGTATTCACAATGTGTTGAAGATTAGTGGGAAGCCTCTAAAAATTAGAGGAGAACTAGAAAAGCAATGAGGGGGGAAAGATTAAATAGAAGAGTAAAATAGCTTGTCACACAAAAGGATTGCAAGAGTTTTTTTTAAGCTACTTAAAAGTTGAGAAAGGCAAAAAACATTGGACCACTGGAAAATGAGGCTGATGTAGTAGTAACGGGGAGCAAAGAAATGGCAGAGGAACTGAATATTAACTTTACATCAGTTTTCATGGCAGAAAACACCAGCATCATACTAGAACTTCAAAAGAGTCAGGGACAGAGATGAGTGTGGTGGCCATCATTAAGGAGAAGGTGCTGGGGAAGCTGAAAGGTCCCAAGGTGGGTAAAATCATCTGGACTAGATGGACTACACCAGAATTCTGAAAGAGGTTGCGAAGACATTGGTTGTGATCTTTCAGGAAGCACTGGAGTCGGAGGGTCCCAGAGGACTGAAAAACAGCCAATGTAAATCTACTGTTTAAGGAGGGAGGGAGGTAGAAGACAGGCCTGACCTTGGTCATTGGTAAACTCTAAGAGTCTATTAAGGATGAGATTACAGAGAACTCCAAAGTGCATGGTGAAGTAGGGCTGAGTCAACACAAGGAATATCATCTGTTTGGATTTCCGGAAGGCCTTTGGCAAGGTGTCACATAGGAGGCTGCTAAATAAAAAGAACCCAAGGTGTGAGGGGCAAGGTACTGACACAAAAAAAGGATTGGCTGATTGGTAGCAGCCGGGGACTAGTGAAGTTTTGCAGGGGTCTGTGTTGGGATCACAACTGTTCACTTTATACACTAGCAATCTGGATGAAGAAACTGAGCGCACTGTTGCTAAGTTTGCAGATGACACAAAGATAGATGGAGGGACAGGTAGCATTGAGGAAGTGGGAAGGCTGCAGAAGGACTTGGAAAGGCTAGGAGAGTGGGCAAAGTAGTGGCATATGGAATACAATGTGGGAAAATGTGATGTTATGCACGGGTAGGAAGAATAGAGGTGTACACTATTTACTTAATGGGGAAAGGCTTCAGAAATCTGAAGCACAAGAAACTGGAGAGTCCTTGTTCAGAATTCTCAAGGTTAACACGTAGGTTCAGTTGACAATGAGGAAGACTAATGCAACGTTAGCATTCGCTTCGAGAAAGTTAAAATACGAGAGCAGAAAATGTACTGCTGAGGCTGTACAAGGCTCTGGCCAGACCACATTTAGAATATTGAGAGCAGTCTTGGGCCCAGTATCCAAGCGAGGATATGCTGACATTTGAGGGAGTCCAGAGGAGGTTTCCAAGAACGATCCCGGAGATCGAGGGATTGCCATACGAGGAGCAGTTGAGGACTCTGGGTGCATACTTGGAGCTTAGAGATGAGGGAAGATTTGATCAAAATTTAGAGTATAGACAGGCCCGAATAGAGTGGACGTGGAGAAAATGTTACCACGAGAAAAGACTAAGATCCGAGGTCACAGCCTCTGAATGAAGGGACAACGCTTCAGAACTAAGAAGGAATTTCTTCAGTCAAAGGGTGGCGATTCTGTCAAATTCACTGCCACAAAAGGGCTCTGGAGGCCAAATCACCGTGTATTTAAGACAGATTCCTGATTAGTAAGGGGATCAAGCATTATGGGGAAGAGGCAGGATATTGGGTTTAGCAGCATATCAGCCATGATGGAATGGCAAAGCAGACTCAGTTAGCTGAAAGGCCTCATTCTGCTCCTGTGTCTTATGGTCTTAATAGCCACGTGATCACCATTAACATGGAGACCGCCACCTGGACATTAGTAAACCAGAGGGTTTTTATTACCATGACAACATCACTTTCATATTAATGAGACTTGGATAAAGGGACAGAAGGCATGGCTGCTCAACTTGCTAAAGGTACACAGAAGGTAGGAAACGAAGTATGAAGAGGAAGTGAAGGAAGCTACTGACAGATTGAGTGGGTAAGCATGTGGCAAATGCAGTATCATGTGGAAAAATATTAAACTGTTCATTTTGACGGGAAAAATAAAGAAGCATGTTATCCTAATGGTGAGAGATTAAAGAGCATCAGGATGCTCTGATCAGGAATTGAAAAAAGGTTAGATAGAGTTGGAGATAGAGTTAGTAATTAGGAAAGCTGATGAACATAATTTGCATTAAATTCCTTGTGACAAAAAGGAGAGAGGTTATATTTCAGTTGTACAGGACATCAGCAAAACCAGATCTGGAATACTGCACACAATCCTGGTCATCTTAAGGAATGATGCATTGGAAGCAACTGAGATAAGGTTTAGTAAACTACTACCTGGAATGGGCAAATGGTCTTATGAGGAAAGGTTGGACAGGCCAGGACCGTGTATGTTAGTGTTTAGAGTAACAGACAACTTGATTCAAACACAAGAACTTGAGGATCTCGGAATGGACGTGGACAGGATGTATCCTCTTCTGGAAGGATCTAGAATTAGGGGTTACTCTATTAAAACCGGGAAAAGGAGAAACATTCTCTCTGCGATTTGAGTATCCTGGGAACCTATTTACTGAAAAGGTGGTGGAAGCAAAGTCCTTTAACATTTTTATGGCAGAGGTTGATTGAGGATTTTTGTTAAGCAAGAGGGAGAAAATCTACGAGCAGCAGGCAGGTTAATGACTAATGAGACAATGTTGAAGTGACATTGACAAGAACTATAATGTGTTGATGTGTTAATGTGATCAGAGGGGAAATGTGATTGCATTGTGGTAACATCACTGGATTAGCACACCAGAATCTAGGGACATAGGCTCAAACTCCACTATGACAGGTTGACAGATTGCCCAGAGGCCAGTTAAGAGTCAATTAAGGTTAGACAATGAATACTGGTTGGCAGTGATGCCCACATCCCATGAATAACGAGAAAAATTAAGTTCACAGGTTTAAATCGATTGCTTTTCTCCAATTTTCAGCACAGCAATTTTGCCTTGGGCTGAAGGAGTCTGTCAGGGTCAGCCCTTCCCAGTTTGGTCCCTTCAAAAGTACTTGCCACATTGTTGAAGTGCACTAAAGTTACAGAACAGTGAAAATCTAACAACATTACCATGTATGGAAGGCTCTGTCACTCAGTGTTGAATCTCTTATCCCATAATCATGTCATTACTACTATTCTGAGCATGAAAGCACTTCTTGATACACAAGTTAATCATTCATAAAAGAATTGAAACCACTCCCCCATATTCCTGAAGTCAGTTTTCAACCAAAGCAGCTCAGCATCACATTGCTCAATACGTATTCATCAAATTGTATACACTGGCAGGATCTGAACCTATTCTAATTTGCTGCTACAGACACAGGAATTTACAAGTAGGGCATTTGGACTGAAGCGGGAGATGCTGATTTTATTTTGGGTTGGGAGTGGCAGAAGTCGAGAGTTTTGGAGTAGGTGCCAATGTCATTTTGCCAGTCATTTTCAAGATTCTGACAGGGCCTCAGAGCTAGGAAGCAGACAGAGAGATACAGTGCCAACCCGAGGACTGTGACACAATTCAACACACGCCCGGGTGCCTCCTCCACAACAAGCACACCCATGGAAGCCTGATTAGCTAGAACCAACCAAGCAGGGAAAACCTCTCATACTGGATTCTGGCCTAGGCGGCATTGCTGCTTTGGAGCTGATAACCCTATTTGGGATTGTGTTCCACAGCCTGCGAATACCTCCATGACAGTTTTGTAGCAACAAAAACAAAAAATATAACTGTTGTGAAATGAGGTGCTTATGTAGGAAAAAAGTCAAAAATGCAATACTCAATACCATAATAGACTAATCTCAAAATTAAGGCGAGACATGTAAACATGGGCAGATTACAAAGTAAACACTGATCAAGTTTCAGAGCATCGTAACTTAGATTAACTTTGACAAATAAGTAGAGTTTGCAGTGACATGACCAACAACATTCCCAAAATCTCAGACTGATGGTACCAGCAAGATAAAATAGTTAAGTTACACTCCAGATTCTCTCAGATAATGGGCAGTTTCCTGGATCAAATGCCTACACAGAAACTGACATAATTCTCCACCAACATGTGCTCAAATAGCATTTTTGTAAACTCACAATAGGTCAACAAGCAGGGAATGCACTAACAATAATTTGGACCTGGAAAGAAATCCAAATTCTTTATACAATCCTTTACAAAAAAAGATATCAATTACCAGTAAATCAGTGTTTCCACGAGGCATTCAGATCTCATTCATGTTCCCAAATTCAACAGGCACGTACTGTGGTTTTTCCAACTTGGTCACATCTTCCGCCACCCCCAGCATCGTCCCCAATTATTCTGCACGTTCTCCTTTTCAAATATCAGCAAACTATCTCAGTGGAGCTAACATTGGCTGATATGGAAAATCCTCAGGTAATTAGTTACATTGAGCCAGGATTCCCCAAATTAGACAAGATCATGATTGAGTAGAGAGCCACAAGAGAGGCAGAAGCAGAAGAACTGCCTCTAAGATAAGGCAACCCTCCTTTTCATCTTCCCAAAATCAGTTTTCAACCAAAGCAGTTCTTCTCAACAAATATTCTTACCTCAATTATCTTTTCCCTATTCTTTGTGGGGTTCATTGGTGGTTCAGTTAGAAGAATTTTGCAATTCTTGGAATCAACATCTAACTTCTCTGGGCCAAACGTGTAATCCCACAGATGTTTCATGTCATCCCAGTTTCGAACAATGCCATTTTCCATAGGATAGTTAACCTCTAACATCGAACGCAATTCACTGGCTTCATCACCCACCATCAGATCCTGCAAGCGGAAAAATTCAATATAGTGAAACAACAGAATGAGACTCCGATCAACATTACTCACTAGTGGCAGGCCTACAAAGTCCAACTTCAAAAAAAATTACTGAAATGTCAGAAACAAGTAAAATCACCAGGATATTCTGAAAACAGGAATTACAGTTAAACTCTGCACTGGGCAAGTTGTTGTTTGAATTAATTTGTTTAGTAAAGTGTTTATGACCATAATTTTATCCCTTAAAACTAAACACCAAGAAACTTCCACAATCCTTGTGGAGGTGATGCAGGATTAATTTACAAGGACAGAGGCTTGGAGAGTTTCTTTAAGGACAAGGTGAGGACTGACCTTTGAAAGAGTGGAGTGCATAAAGGGGATTTATTGCAAGGACAGGCACAGGAGGAAGTAGAGCTGTGGGTGGGGAGCGATCCGAGATAATGACACAACACGACCCTGGGTCATGACATAGATCATTGGAGATGATCACCGTGGGTTCGAGTGCACATGATGGAAGTGGGCAAAGGTAGAAATTCAGAAAATTCATCAATTGTGAGGGTTACAACTGAGTAAACTACAATAAAAGTTGTGAAACATATCAAAATATCTCAAAGTATTGAACAAAAGGTACACTGGGCCAAAACGCTCTTGCAGAATACTTGAATTCTGTCAGTGCCAAGTTCAGAGTTACGAAAGCCATTTTAAATTAAAATTTATTTTTAAAAAATAGCTTGTGCTCTATAGGTTCATAGCCATTTATTTTAATCTTTACACCCAAAAGCAGTGGTGAGATAGCCAGGGAAGACAATGCATTCAAAGAGCCATTTTCATGGAAGAGGAAAATGCCTAAGCAGACTAATGGCCAAAGCCAAGTTGATACTATCTCTGACTATAACCATCCAAAGGTTGCTTGACCGTAACAATTAAGGGAATTTTCTCTTCCCACCCCCATGCCAGGTTGAAAGAGGCCAAGAATCACTCCAATCTTCCCATTTCAGTCAGGGGGGCAATGACCCACTTGTACACACAACAGCACTGTATAAGGATGATTTGTATAATACTGCAGTGGAACAACCAGAGTTGAGGTTTCTGAAAATCAGGACAAGTAATTCTGGTATCAAGTACCTCTGCACGGGTAACAAATACAGGCGGATGGCAGTGGTTTATTGTGTGCGTACACACTATGGGGTTTTATTTTGCATTCAGGTATTACATTCCAAAAAAATTGAGATCCTTCAGGTCTAGGTGAATGGGATGGGCTCAGAGATGCAGAATGGATATTAAGAAAAAAGACTGATGACATGCAAGCCTAAGGTTCAGCAGAGCTATCCAACAGCAGAAGATCACAGACATAAGAATTTAAACAATTTTCCTTTTTTTCAAAGAATCAATCATTTCTGTCCTTGACATTCCAGTCAGGTACTTGTCACAAGCACAAATACCTTCCAAAATCTACGCAGCAGACTTATTTCACTGTCTGCCTTGATACTGAATGAAAGCAGTTTGAGAATGCCTGTATATTAAAAGTCTGTGTGTAAGCACAGAACAACAAATTAATAACCAGTCATGCTTGGATAGTTCACTGGATGATGTTAAATGCCCAAATACTGACTAGTTCCAAGTAGAAAATACTATCTCCACAAAACAAGCACACAAACCTAGTCAGATTTCAACTTGGATTCTGATAAAATTGATGAACTAAAGCATTCATCAAATTTTGAAGTGATCCATTCAGTACATGCAGTCAGTTTTAGGCAGACAAACAATCAATTTTGGAAATTCATGTCAAAGAGCTGTTCAATAAGTGATAGCATCAGATACCTCCCCAGTGCAAGACTTAAATCGTACATGTCGCATAGACTTTGGACAAAATAAGACACACACCTGTTGGTCAGTCCACAACCTGCATTTAAACAGGAATGCATCAACTGCTTCACTCGAGCAATCAACATTCCACTGTCACTGAAGGAATGAAAAAAGTACTCGTATCTAGTGGGATAATGTTAATTTTAAGCCCCAACCAAACAAACACTACTACCTATGCACAGAAAAATATGGATAAGTATAGTTCAAATTCATGCTTCAAAGCAAAACAAAGGAATTGTGGCAAATTCATGCTGCAGGTGAAACACTGAAAACCTCAATAGGTTTCTTGAAATGTTTAAACACCAATTTTACATATTTTGTTCAGAAGCCTAATCAAGATGGAACTTAGTGCTTTTACAATCAGCATGAAATTGTGGTTGATTTAAGCATTCTTGTCGCAAGACACAGACTTGTTCTACAAATGTTTATCAATCACCCACCACCTTCATCGTGTACATCAACCCATTCTGTTCACTATTCCTTTTCTTGGGTTGCCTCCTGGCCATTGGCAGGCTGGAATGACATGACCATAACTCAAATAAACACATCCTCCTGTTTTTCCTAACTGCTTGGAAAAGCTCCTCAGCTCCATGACATTTATCTGACAGATTATGAAAGGTTTTGCAGGCACCAAGGTAAGTCTACCATTTTTACAATGTTATTTCATCAGTGCACCGACATTGTACCAGCACCCACTGATCTTGGAATAATTACCTACTCTCAAGCAACCTTACCTGCAACTGCAATTCAACAGACTTGCACAAATGCTCAAGGCCTTTGAATGCGATTATACAGGTGATTACAATTTTACAACTCTCAAGACTCCGCTACACCAGTCAACTCCCACTGCAACACTCCATGGCCCAGTGATGATTCAAACAGCCTAATTCCATAAACCTTGCCAATAGCTTCCAGCAAACAGGAGTGGGAGTAGTACAATTGCAGTGGGCGACGTATTCTTGATTTTTCCTACCAACTGTATCAGCTCTACCCAACTCCTACCCCAAATGACCTGGAAAAAGGTGAGAAATATGCTGCGTAGCCCTGTGCTCTCGGTCAGATGCAATGCACCAGCCCACCAACATGCTGCAATGCAAAACCCATTTTATCCGTGCTTTTAAAATTCCAATAGAACAGACAAGTTAACTTTCCAGCATAACAGAGGGAACAGCTGTTTTGTTGTAAGTAAATAAAATTGCAAAATGTTAACAAAAGGAAATTATTTCAACGCAAAGTTTGGATGTTTGGATTGCAATACCAAAATAAAATGAAATGAAAAGATGGAACACACCACACTCCAATAACTTACTTACCATCTTTTTGTTATTCTACTTCAACAGGTGAAGAAAGAAGAGAAAGAGAGAGAGAAGGTAAAAACAAAGGTCAGAAAAGGTCTGAGTGAAAACATCACTCCAGGAACTTAAAAGATCCAAGTGCTTTCCAAAATTAAAAGAAGAAAAATGACAGAACTTTAAGAAACTTCCCCATTAGGTGTGAAGAGTCTAGAGTTCAGCTAGAATATATAGCTCTGTTCAATATCATTCTTTTATCAAGTTCAAGGGATATTTAGAGTTCTGCAAATGTATTTCAAAAACGTTAATCGCTGCAATAATACAAACAGTTTGCTTATCTATGTTGTAGAATGAACACAATATGCACTACTTCCCCATTTCTCTCAATTCACATACAATATAAAATGATAGCTAGAATTAATTATTTTGTATGTGTCCCCCCAATAGAATGTTTTCATGACCTTGTTGGCACTCTGGGGCTAAAGGAGTACCTGAATTACTGTCTCGGAAATTATTCAGATGACGATTTTTACAAATGGGAAGCAAGCATATTTCTCACATAGTTTGCATCGTCTGAACAAGCTTAACTGATCAACTTTTTGACTCTTCGAGCAGAGCTCACAACGTATCTTGTTTGCAAACATATCTATCATGCACGTATGCCACAGCTGCAGGCAGATTGAAACTCCTTCTGAAGTTAGCCAGTTGTTTGATTAAACTGAGGAAATATTTGAGGCGGCAAGAGGGAAAGGAGCAATGTAGAAGAGAAACCTACTCGCTCCATCCAAACAGCAGCTTTACTCAAGTGAAAACTACACTGCACTCATCATTATTCATTCAATCTTTACCTAATATGAATTTGAAATCATATTTAAACATTAATTCCCACCATATTTGCGATAGCCTAATAGTCAAGAGCAAAAGGCAAAGGCATATTACCTTAATTTGGTTCTGTAAACATATGAATCTAGAAAGATTGCATACCTGTGCAACCTATACAGTACAATCACATGCTTTAAAAATGTTATCGCTTTAAAGATTAAGTAAAAGCTTCTGCAAATATTTCTTAAAGTGCTGCCTGGTTTAGCACTAAGAGCAAACTGTTGGGCTTTTTCCTTTGTTTCATTATACAACAGGAGTAATGAAAACATATTGCCACACTGGAACTAAATGGGCAAGAGAAAATTTAGCCACATTAAGTTAGTAACAGCACAGCTCTCAATAACCTTACCTTGATCTCAATATTCCCAACTTTGGCAGTGGATCGGATAATGGGACGGCCCACCAGCGCTGGAAAAATGTGTTCTGGAAAGTTGGAGCCAGCATATCCGCACTTGACAAACTATACAAAGCAGGACAAAAAGGAAAAAAAGAGATCATTTCATTTCTTAAAGATGTCATTTTGGAAGTCATTATTCATCAAAACAGGGAGAGGGAAAAACGGGTTGCTACAGACTGATGAAAAGACAGATACTACTCAGCTGTTTGAATACAGCAATTTAAACACTTAGAAATTAACCTTGAAGATTAAAAGTTTTCATTTTAAGAATATACATAATACTTGGTTAGAACTGATATAAAAGCTCTACATAGCAAGCATCAAGTACATATTACATCTTTGCCTGGAGAAAACCCATTCCAAGTTGTGTTCTGAAAAACTTTATACATAAACTCAAAGAAAAAACTGTCAATCAGCACAAACTATGTTTTCATTCATTTATGGGATTACGGGTGTAAAAGCCTGAATTGGCCCATATCAATTTCCTGGAGATGGTAATGCACTTCTCAGACTTCAAACAAGTGGCTTCAAAGGCCATTTCAGAGGCAGTCAAGAATCTTGCATATGTCAAGTTTGTTTCATAATAAACTAGTTTTAGTGAAACTGTAATAATCGCTGATAATTGTGCTGATTTTAAATAGAAGACACTTGCTCTGCTCTCCTTTATTCTCTGAAATTTAAAGTGAGGAAAAAGCAGTTGCCGCCCAAATCACAGATAGAAAGAACTGCAGATGCTAGAGTTAGAGATAACAAAGTGTAGAGCTGGGAGAACGCAGCAGGCCAGGCAGGTTTCTGAAGAAGGGTCCCGACCTGAAACGTCCACGTTCCTGCTCCTCTGATGCTGCCTGGCCTGCTGTGTTCCTCCAGCTCTACATGGTGTTATCTTGTTATTACCGTCCAAATCATGCAAGTTACATAATGACTCAAAGAAGAAAAATCTCTATTGTGTAAACTGGCTAAAACCCATATCCTACTTATATACCATATTGTTACATCAACTGTAAATCAACCACATGGGCCTTATTACTACAGACCAGTGTATTAAATAGTCTGTGTCATGCAGTGAACTACCCCACAGAAATAATTATCAAAACAGAGCCACACAAGGCAATGTGAGGGAGTGGTGACTGAAAACTTCAAAACAGTACATTTCAAGAGTGCCTGAATGAAGGAAATAGGCAGAGAGGGAATTCTTAAGCTTGTCAATCTTTACAACTAAACGTACAATGTTGCAATCAAAACGAGAGCTGTGTGAAAGGCCAGAAAGCCAACTATCACAAGAGTGCCTTATTAACAAGACAAAGGGAGCAAATGTGATGAATTTACCGACAACTGTGTTTCAATTGCCCATAGTCATATTGCATTCCATTCATTAGTAACCTTTCATCTGAGGAATTTGCTGCAACAGAAGACTGTCGAGGCTACATCCCTGAATATATTTCAGAAACTGCTCAGAGCGTCAAGGAGTATGGTAGGCAGAAAGAACAGCACTGAGATGGAGAATTGACCATGATCACACTGAATGATAGAGCAGGCAAGATAGATGGGGCAAATGACCGATGCTTGTTCCTATTTTCTGTTTTTTTTCCCCCACTGTGAAACAGAAATGGCTTCGAAACAGTTCGGTAAAAACAGCAGAAACAGATTAGGAATACAAAGAGGAGGAACTTGGATTTAAAACAGGTAATGTAAAAAAATTGTTCAAGAGCCAGATCCTCTGCTCTGCTGATTTCCAAGCTAGGCCACTGAAAGGAAGTAAATTGTATATTTGACAGTCTACTTTCCACCAGCACTCTCAATTAAAGACTTGAATATTTAGATTTGAAATCTGATGTCACATCAATAAAGGCAGGGATTAACCAGGTAGAGAGATCTAGCAACTATTGCCTAATCATGGATATGAAGGACTCAGTCAACGTTTTATTTGTTTAAGTGATTTATTTGGAGGTCACTGGATTGGCAATTAGGGAATTCTATTTACAGTCTATTTCAGTTCTGACGAAGGGGTCACCAGACCCAAAACGTTAACTCTTTTTCCTTCACAGATGCTGCCAGACCTGCTGAGCTTTTCCAGCAATTTTGTTTTTGTTCCTTAATTCTATTTACACATCAGGTGGGGACTTCCAGAAGGCATTCAATAAGGCTCTGCACCAGAAACTGTTCAAAAATTCAAAGTTCATGGAACAGGAGGCAACCTCATGACATGGACTGAGGTAGAGTTGGGACGAAGGTCCCATTGTTTGACAGAATTCGTATTGTGGCACCAACTGGGACAGTGGCCTCTGTTTTCATCGTACATAAACATCAATCAAGCAACGAAGTTGTCAAAACAAGTTGTGGCTGACAAAATTAGGAGGTGCAGTACTTTATGTAAACAGGGTGGGAAGTAACAAAGGGTACACGGAATAACTGAGGGCAAACATCTGGCGAACAGAGGGTGGTATGCAAAACGAGAGCTGAGAAAGACTAATCAGATCTACTTAGATTTTGAAATGGTGACACTTGTAGCTGCACAGACAAATCACTAAAGGCTATGTACAATGACACAAGGTTGGCCTTTAACCCAAGTGGATTCACATCTAAAAAAGTGATCTCTCCGAGCCTTATTCCAAATTATTCTAACTTCTGCATTCAGCTTTGGAAGGATTTACTGAACTTGGAGAGGTTATAGTGTGGATTCATCAGGTTTACAATATGGCTTAAAAAATTCACATCTCAGCTGATATTAACTGCAGTGATTCAGGGATAGTAGGAACTGCAGATGCTGGAGAATCTGCGATAACAAGGTGTAGAGCTGGATGAACACAGCAGGCCAAGCAGCAGAGGGGCAGGAAGGCTGACGTTTCAGGCCTAGACCCTTCATCCAGCTCTACACCTTGTTATCTCTGAACTGCATTGTGGTGGTTTGCATGCTCAGGTCTATGTTTGATAAGTGGCCAAATCAAAATGTTAAAACAGTAGAGATTCCATCGCACAAATGCGGTGAAAATTACACACTAATGTCTCCCACGAATTCCTTACCACCTTCTTCCTTTTGAATTCAGTTCGCCAAATATAAAACTAATGTCCATTTCATAAAGCTCATTCCTAGCCAAAAAACCTCCATACTAAGATAGAAGCGTTTGTCAAATTACTCCAGCTTTCACCATTAAATGCAGAAGTCAGTCTCATGCAGTGAAGGACTTCCTGATATCAGGCCTAAGTTTGTCTTTCACTTGCTTGAACCTATCCTTCCTTAGTTTCTACAGCTGTTTTTAATTTTAAATTCATTCTTTTCTTATTGCCCATCTATCTTTACTATGTCCAACATCTCTTGGCCACTCATTTTCAAGGTTAAAGGAACTGTCTCTCCATCCAACTGACACCAAAACGGAACACCATCAAATGGAACTAACTTCATAGCTCTTCCAATTCCACAAGTTCCAGAATATCGGAGACGAGAAGTGAACTCAACAGTGCAGTTATGCAGCAGAGGTGATGGCCTATGGTATTATCGCTGGACTGTTAATCCAGAGACCCAGATAACATTCTGGGGACTCTGGTTCAAATCCCAGGATTTGAATTCAATAAATATCTGGAATGGAGTGTCTAATGATGACCCGTGAATCCATTGTCAATTGTTGGAAAAACCTTTAGGGAAGGAAACTGTCATCCTTACCTGGTCTGGACTAGATTTGACTCCTGACCCACAGCAACGTGGTTGACTGATGGCCTCAGGGCAATTAGGGATGGGCAATAAATGCTGCCTAGCAGTGACGCCCTCATCCCATGAATGAATAAAGAAAAAATTACAGTAGTTCAGCACGACTTAAGGGCAACTTCCCTAAAAATCTTCAATTTTAGAGAGTTTACCATTCTTCGCCAGCTTGAATTTTTAAACTCAATTTGAGAATCGTCATTCTTGTTTTCTATGGCTTTGCCAACTTCAGAATCACTTTGTCCAATTTTGACCTTTTCTGCATCCCTGATTTTATCAGTCCATTGGCAGCTGTGCCATTGGCTGACGATACCAAACTCAAGGGCTCTCTCTCTGCATATATTTTCCCTTTTATCTTTCCTGCTTTAAGGCTGACTGTAGACTGCTTGGATCAAACATTTGGGCCAGTCTTTCGTCTCTCCTCTTGGGACTCAGCATCTTATTTTATGAAGAGGTGCTATATTGGCACTGTGTTATACTATGGAAATGCCAAATATTCCTCATTGCAGTGGTTAAGACATCAACCATCTGCAAATCTCCCCTTGTCACTGAGCTACACCTAAAAACCATCAGCTCATTTCTTCAACCAGTTCCTTTGATTGGCCTGGTGCTCCTTTACCAGCTGACTCCTTCATCCACCACCTGAACATGCCTTGGTGTGCTTTATACCACCAAAAAAGTGGGGCCCCAGTGAAGGGTTCTCTCTGCAGGAGTCCTCCCACTTTGCACTGGGGAGTTGGGATGGAAGGTGCTGCATGCAGCAGTGCCATGTAAATGCACATTACAGTGGTTCATGGACTTGCAGCCCAATTGTTTGCTTTGTGGTATTGTGGGGTCCTTGAACCATGTATGGGTTCTGGGTGATTGAATCTCCTTTTTAGCTATTTGAAAAATCTTTTACCATGCTTTTGGTTGCACTTTAACCCCATGCTCCTGATCTTTGGGCATCTGGAGTGGTGCGGAAGTCGGAGTGTCACCTTCAGAGTCTGCTCCTGGACTTTGTAATGTTAACTCTTAACTAGTCTGGGCAGCGGCAAGGGTTTTAACCATGGACTGTCCGCCCCTCATCTGAGGAGGAGTGCCCAAATGTGCTTGGAGCAGGAGCACACGTAGCGTCCAATGATCACCATGTCTTTAGGGAGGGGGGTGGGCACCGTAGGGGGTAGAGTGCACTATCAACACCTCGACCCTGCAATTTTCCTTCACCTTTGATGAGGTTGAGCACAAATTAATCAATTGGAAAACGCAGCTGATTTACTGGTGGGTGTTAATAGATGAAAACATACAAGTGATTTGGTGACGATAAACATCCAGTTGTGCTTAAGAGCACTTCTAGATGTGAAAAAAAAGGAAAAAACTGCACTCT